TGCTGTTCCTGGACGGTGAAATTTACATTTAATAAGATTTGACCATTTCTAACTGTACACCGCCTGCCTTAAACCAATCCGATTATGGAATTCCCTATCACGTGATAACAAAATGGACGAAAAAAGACCTCAAAAAGGGCACCTATGGGGCAAGTTATCCGCCATGTGTTTTGTCGGGTTACCTAAATATAGAACTATAATGTCTCCAGTTACGAATCTAGAAACCAGTGTGTAGCTAGGCTATTGCTTGGTGAACAATAATCAAAATATTTCTCTTAAACCAAGAAACTACTGCTTTGCTGTTCAAGAATTATAATTTTTCACGAATACAAACTAATTATTTTATTGCATCATATTTATTTAAACAACATACGATAAGTATACAATATATTTAGCAAATGGGTATCTGTCATTAAAAATAAGAAAGATACATACATGTTATACGTTGCTAAACAGATTTCCAAAGCATTTAAGCATTTCATAGTTTTGTCAATTGAATTACAAGCTGTAAATAATGTCTATATTTTCAATCTGCTTTAGATGTCTGTACGACTCTGTCCTCACCTAGGGCCAGCACTGTAGCAATGACTTCGAATGGTATAAACACGCAAGCAACATACACGTGTTTCAGCGGGTACACGTTATATGGTATGTCCCTTATCACGTGCAGAAGCGATGGATCATGGGACTTTACTGCACCAACGTGCTGTTAGTAAATCGACGTTTAACTCTTCCTTGGTCGTGATACTGAACTTATGTTATGTGCTTATACTTGTGGCTCAGAAATGTTTATTTTGTCGAACTGAAAAATAATTAAATATTTACTTTATACAGACAAAAACTAAACAAAATGTTTAAGATAAAAATGCGCGTATCACAAACCATCTGCATTATTTATTAGCTGAAAAGATTGTTACTCGCAAGAATTGTTTGGAATGTGTTTAATATGTTAGTAATATCAAATATGTCTTTTGATGCTTTTGTTTTAACTTGTAAAACTTTTGGGAAAACAGATAAAAAACTTAAAAGAAATAATAGGATACAAACGTTAGAAAGATTTGCATTAGTAATTTTCATTGTACCTTGTAAAATATTTCTTTACAGTAACATGTCCGGATTTGTCTGATCCGGAAAGTGGTACACTTACAGTGACAACAACCGGTTCCGTTACAACAGCAACATTTAGCTGTCAAACAGGATATTATCTTAGTGGAGAATCTACTCTGACGTGTGGTTCTGACGTGGCATGGAGCAGTGATGTTCCGACTTGTAGTGAGTATTCTTATTTATTCCATATCTACAAAATAGTTCCGACGAAATTCTTTATGTCGCAAGGTTACTAGAAATTTATGTGTCAGTTAAAGCACTTTCTGAAATGTTCGTGACATTCAAGTTTAACCCATGCGTGTGATCCCTATTAAAAGGTGCTAGTTTTAGATAATATCAGATTAAATTATTATCCGAACAACTTATGTTGAACTTGTCTTTAATTCAACTTGAGCGCTTTATGATTTACATTATACAGTAGGGTGAACGTTTCGGTTGTCAAAAATAGCGTTTTTCGTGCGTCCGTTTTTCGTGTAACGTGCGTGCGTATAGCGTGCAACGTGCGTTTGCTGAAATGCTTTCTCAAGCGTGCATCGTTTACAAGCGTTTAACGTTTATCGTTTTCCGTGTATCGTTTTTCGTTTATCGTGCGTCTGAAAGCGTGCGTTTCTTATCCCCAGAAACGTTTAGCGTGCGTCTGCGTTCGTCTAAGCGTTTTGCGTCTGTTAACTTACTATTGAGAAGTAAAAGAATAACTTAGATATATTATGTAAATTTCTTGTTTCTTAAACATGTAAGAGATGTTCTGTGTCCCTGTCAAAGAATAGAAATATTATATAAAGAAGTATTATTGTGATATTTACATTAAAGTTTTAAAGTTTGTGACCTCGCGGTGAATACTGGTCAGATTTCTACATGCTTTACGCCGAAGATTATTAGTTTGAGTTTTAATCCTATTTTACATACGCATAAGATATAATTACTAATTAATTGCAACATTTTTGATATTCAATTCAGCAAACAGGTGTTTATATGCGTACCAATATATATTAGATATGAAGTTCGTCAGACATCAAATGATGGTAATCAGACTAGCACCCCACCCCCTTTACAAGTTCATCTTCTGACATTTCATCAAAGACTGTCCGAATTTAATTTTTAATTTAATTTTAATTCTATCCGAATACTATTTAGGGTGATAACTATTTTAGACAGTTCCTTCCTATTTTTCTTGACAGATTTATATTGATATATGTAACAGCCTGGCAGGGACTCGAACCCCTGACACTCGGAATACGATTCCGCGGCTCTTGAGTTCCTCTGAGCTATTCGGCCGCTTACACGTTTTACTTGTTTAAATACTGAATAGTTATAAACCTACTGTGTATGCAAATATTTCTTCAAATTTCCCAGGGTTACTTAGCATTGTGAATTAATTTCTAGCTGGGCTATACAAATGTATGTCAGTCACAGGGTGAGAAAAAAGTGCATCCTGACATGGACTCGAACCCGTGACCCTCTAAATACTGTACCGCAGCTGTACCAACATTTGTTAATAGTTTCATTATTTGTACATGTATAGTGAACATTTTAATAATTATACATTGTACATTGTACTATTTCTATATTTTTGTACAAATAAAAATAGCTAGATTTTTTTCTAGATAAAAAATTCTATGGTGGCTAATATATACCATGTTGTACTTTTTAGACATGTAATCACAACAGTCATGCTAAGCCACCCTTTACAAAATTCCCCTATCTGACAGCTCATAATCAAGTCATACACTACTATTTTTGTATGTGGCCTGGGCTTTTACTGTTCACTTACAAACCGTAAACACTGATAGCGAACAGATGCGCAGGCTGGTCTGGATCCATGCTGGTCGCAATCCCATTATGTTGGTTTTATCGTGACACGGCTCAAATATATCTTAATCTTATATGAGGTCCATAATATAACCCACTTTGATAAACATATATAGCTTTCTTGATTTTTTTTCTGTATATTATCTAAAATCACTTTTTTAGGTGTATCAATCCGTAATCATTACATGTACTTAACATTATACCCCTTTGAGATACCCGAGATGAGCCTGTGTGGCCCTTTGCTAACTTAAAAGTATATAACCTTTCCATATATAACCATATAATTCTTTGAAGATTTTTCTCAGCTGAGTTAGATAGGTATGCTGTAGTCCCAAGTCACTTGTTTAACTTCCCTCAAGTAAGTTATAAACCTCATAACTGATAAAATTCTAACTATAATATACTTAAATATCACCTATGTATTTATATAAATTTACAAAAACCCATTTTGCATACTAATATATCTTTTGGGACCTGTACAATTTCAATTGATTGTAATTTTAATTTTCCTACAATATCAATTTTATGCTTCATAGGTAGGTCAGTTCATTAAAAAGAGCATAATACAAGATCCATATGAAAAGTAATGTAATTGATAACTCAATCCAAAAAAACTTTATTAATTAAAAGCTTTAATAAGATGACTTAAAAAAGAAGATTTCAATAATTGTCCATGAAAAATATAAATGTTATAGTAAATTCTATGTGGACCCAAACTATTAAAGAAAGCAGTGCCACATAAAAATGTTGATACACCGGGTAATTTTACCTTAGGAAATGATACAGAATTTTTTTTATATAACATAAATCTATTATATTAATTAACAAACATATCTAATTGACTAAAATAAGGTAGTCCTAACAAATTTAATTACAAAATATGAGAATTATGGCAAATCTCCTAAGATGCCTAAATGTCCAAGATAATGCACTAAATCACTACAAAATATGAAAATTTTACCTAATTATAAGAGCCTTGGAAATTAAACAAAGCTATAAGAGGAACATTAATCTATCATATTAAGTAACAAACGTATCTTATTGACTAAAGTAAGGAAGTCCCACCAAATTTCATTACAAAATATAAGAGTTATTGCAAATTTCCTAAGATACCTTACTGTCTTAAGATAGAACACCAATTCACTACAAAATGGGGATTTTTACCTTATTATAACAGCCTAGGAAATGAAACAGAATTTTAAGTGCAACATAAATCTATTATATAAATTAACAAGCATATCTAATTGATTAAAATAAGAATATCTCAATAAATTACATTGAATATTCAAAAATTATGGCTTATTTCCTATGATGTATAACTATACAAGCTTACACACTAATTCATTAAAAATGGGAGTAATATTACCTGATTATAACCTCATGGTAAATGAATCAAGTTATATAAGCAACATAGTATTATAATATTAAGTTATACCTACATCAAATTGACTTATATTAGAAAATCCCAACAAATTTCATTGAAAATTAAGAAATAATGGCTAATTTTCTATGCCTTATTAATAACTTTACCACACCAAATCATTGAAAATTTGGGTAAGTTTACCAAGTTATAAACTTCTGGCCACTGAAACAAAGTAAGTAAAGCCAAATAATGTTATACTATCATCTAATTTACTAAAATAAGAAAACCCCATTGAATTATATTGACAATGAAGAAAGATAGGGTAAATTTTCTATGATGCCTATTTGTTCAAGCAAATACATTACATCTTTAGAAAATGGGGGTAATTTTACCTTATTGATAACCTCCTAGGAAATGAAACCAAGTTAGTAAGGCAACATATTACTATAATATTGAGTAACAATTACATCTGTTTGATTAATATGGGAAAAAATCCACCAAATTTCATTGAAAAATAAAAAAAGGTATGGCAAATGTCCTATAATGCAGACAGAGGGGTTCAGATCCACTATCAGTAAGGAAGTGTTCCCTTCCCCGTCAGGGGACCATTACTTGCATGGTATATGGAATCACAAAAAAGATACTGTAAACTGATTTTTTCATTTTTACAGCTCAGAACTGTTTACTATTGAGGGGAGAAGATGTGCAAGCAGACTGATAGCTTAGCCGGTAGTCAGCTTCGACACTGTATTCAAGGGGTCCCTGGCTCAAGTCCCAGTCAGGCTGCATATTTTTCTCACCCTTTGACATTTGACTCCCAACAGTTAGTAATAAAACAATGTGAAATTGGCCTTGAAGTTTCATACCATCACCTATTCCAAAGGGGACTGTGATGGATGGTATAAAACTCAAAGTCCTATTTCACATTGTTCACTGTACCCATTCAAGGACGAATTTCAATAAAGCAGGGGAATATGTAATGGTTCCGAACTGTTCACTATATAGGGAGATGATGCGTTAGCAGCCTTATACAATATAGTTCAGTCGGTTGAGTGGCGGAACGGTATTCCAAGGGTCCCAGGTTAAAGTCCTGGTGAAGCAGCACCTTTCTTTTTTAACTTGTGACAGTAACAAAAAAGGAAGGTATCAGGCATTTAATGTTCCTTAATAATAATATAGCATATTATAACATATAGTGCATAAAATGTCAATAAATTTCAATTTCAATACTATGAAACATATTTTCTGATGCGCTGCTCTTTTGGTAAATCCATATACTTTACAGTTTACACATGATTCACAAATTATTGGAGTCCAACACTCCTCCCCTCCTGGCACTTATGGATCGCGGTGCATGAGGTTGACAAGTTTCTCCATTTTCCTCATTTTTTTCTCACTTACAGTTTCGGGCCCAAAATAGAAGTTTATTCTTAATATAACACTTTAATTCATTAAAATTTCATTAGGCTTTTCACACTTCTATAATTATCGTTCTTATCTGTTATATTAAAACATATTTTATCAATATCTTTTTATGGAATTTAATTTTTTGAAAAAAAAAAAGAATAAATATAATAATGCATGTAGTTTTACAGCTGATAATTTTTTCAGAACTAATATAAACAAGAGGGCCATGATGGCCCTGAGGTCGCTCATCTGTATATAGGCCCCCCAACCCCACCCCCCCCCCCTGCAACGTTGCAGGGCCAATTTAACCCAGGGGCTTTTATTTGCACAAACTTGGTAGACACCCATAAGAAGATGTTTCATGCTAAACATCTAAGCTCTAGCTCATTGGGCTTTTTAAAAGAAGATTTTTTAAGTTTTTACTATATATGCATATAGGGAAAATCAATGACCTCCTGGGGCGGGGCCAATTTTGACCCCAGGGCTTTTATTTGAACAAACTTGGTAGACACTCACTAGAAGATGTTTCATGCCAAATATCTAAGCTCTAGCTCTTATGGTTTTTTAAAAGAAGATATTTAAAGTTTTTTTCTTTCGGTTGCAATGGCAACCAGAGTTCTGCATGGAATTAAATTCTTTGAACAATTTTTAAAGGTGACCACCAAAGGAACATTCCTGTGAAGTTTGGATGAAATTGGCTTAGTGGTTTATGAGGAGATGTCATTTAAAGTAAAAGTTTACGGACGGACGGACGGACGCCGGACGAAAAGCGATCACAAAAGCTCACCCTGTCACTTTGTGACAGGTGAGCTAAAAATCAAATTAATATTTATTTTCCCAGGGAAATTTCATTATACGTTATATCACCGAAAAGCTTTTTTATATCAATCATGTTTGCAAGTATGTTTTATATTATATACATTTAAGAAATAATATATCCCAAACAGTGATTTTATTGCTCAATAACATCACTGATTGGAGTTCGGATGCGAGGAATTATATCACGAGGGTGTAGCCCGAGTGATATAATGATGCACATTCGAACGACAAAAAGTGATGTTATCAAGCGATAAAATCACTGATTTGGATATATTATTTCGATTCTAACACGACATCAACAAATAAATGTTACCGTACTTGAAAGTTAAGCAAATTTGTGCCTGATTTGTTTCCGTACTTATTTTCAACGCGTCAGATTTTTAGTGGTTACGTCACGTGTATAATGATTACGTCACATGTCTAAATATAGAATGTCAAACTGTGCATCTGTTGCATAATAACACACACTTTCTGTTCTTCTATGTTCAATAGGGTAAATGCGGGTCATGTTAGAATATATTATAACCCATAATGCATGGTATTTATTATATATATTTATCAAATTGAAAAAAAGGTGGTTAAAAATTGAGGTTGAAACTTTCAGGGCCGAAACGTCCAGGAGGTGTAAAGTCCTGAAACATATAGATTTAGCCCTTGTCTGGAAAATATGTGGGGCTGCTGGTCTGCAATGTATGTTTTCCTTTATTTAAAAAGGTCATGTATTAATTTTGTTCGCCTGTATGTAAATGATTTAATAATTTGATCGCTGATTTGCTAAAGTTACTACCATTCGTTTTATTTTGTTTACGCCAGAAGCGGTGTCGAAGTAATTATTATCTATCTAAGAGATTCCTGGTATAAAGCAAAGTATTTTTTCAGAAAGGTGCATAAAGACGACCCTGTTAAATCATTTTTAATGCATGTATTAGCGCTTGATGGCTTATAATTTCAATAATCATTTGTTTCGGCTGCCCGACAAAAAATAATACTAAGTATTGTAATAATTGAGTGCATTCGCGGATTGATATCATTACAGCTCTTACCTGGGGCATAAGATAAGTTAGTTAACATAAACCTGTTTAAAATACATGAATGGCTAGCTATCATTTAATCAAATCACTAAACGATCTAGCTAAAGTTGTTAAAAATTTATATGATAAGGATATTTTATTAACGTTGAGAAACGTTTTCTATTTTGCGTGCGTTTTAGCGTGCGTATATCGTTTAGCGTATTTCGTTTTGCATGCGTCTGCGTATTTCGTTTCATAAAGCGTGTGTGTAACGTGCGTTCGTATAGCATGTAACGTGCGTGCGTTTTTTCCGGAACGTGCGTTTTGCGTGTAAACTGGAACATTCACCCTACTGTATCACATACACAAAATAAAGACCGTTTAAAGAGAAATAAGAGTAGTTTTTCATTTACGCGCCTATAATATAACGCTAACATTTAGTGCGTCTTTACACAATGTTTGTATAACGCTAATGACGTCACTTCAAATTATATGCACGGATGTGCAATACCATATTTACTGAGTGGCAAAATCGGCACTGGTGTGTTTCTCGCCCATATGGTCTCTTTCCGGTGGCGAGGGTAAACAAACCCAAACACACACACGCACCGGTGTGTGATAAAGCATATTAATACATATTAAGCGCATGTCAATAAATTTCAATTTTAAGTGATATGAAAAATATTTTCTGTTGTGCTGTCTTTGTAAATCCTATAACTTAACATCACAACCAGTTTCCTTATTTTCCTCATTTTTTTCCTCTCGATTACAGTTTCAGACCGACAATAATTGCGTTCTTAATATTTATATATAGATCTACTCATATATTGCAATGCCCTAGAAAATTTACCTTTTTTAGTGATTTCACTGGATGTCAGTATTGTTTATTTCTACTTTCACTTTCGTCTTGAGAAGCTTTTACTGGCGACAACACAGTATATATTGCGGTGTCCCAATGAAACATACAGGACATCAACTTAAATCTACGTATTGTGCCAGCAATTTAATCATCCTTGATTCTGGAAGCTTTTCCTTTAATGTTATCCATTTCCCTTAATGTTATCCGTGGTAGAATCCTGTGTTTTTAATCTGTTTTCGTGACTTCTGTCAAAATAGTTAATTCCTTTATTTCACACTCAAGATTATATAGTTCGATTGTTTATGATGCAGCCTCACTTAATATATAGATTTGCCTCATAAATCCATCTGAATTTAATTGTTAGCACTGTATATTTATGAAACATTGCAATGCATTTTCAATGTCGGCCATGTTGGACTATTACGTAGAGATTACGTAGTGAACGCAAGGGATAGTTCTTTATCCGATTGCGCATAAAAAGGAACACGTTACCCTAACTATTTTACTTTCGATATTAGTGCATGATAGCTTATAAATATTTCTAAAAATCATTTGTTGAGGCTGTGACAAAAATTAATTTCGGTGCTAGGTTGAGTGCATTTCAGTTCTTACATAAACTCGTTTAAAATACATTTCTAGCTACCATCATATATATATGATAATCAAAATTTATCACTAAACGATCTACATGTAGCTAAAGTTGTTAAAAACTTAAAATGATTACGATATTTTAATAAAGGTTTAGAAACGTGTTCATTTTGCGTGCGTTTTAGCGTGCGTATATCGTTTAGCGTATTTCGTTTAGCGTATATCGTTTTGCGTGCGTCTGCGTATTTCGTTTCGTTTTGCGTGCGTATAACGTGCGTTCGTATAGCGTGTATCGTGCGTTCGTATAGCGTGTAACGTGCGTTTTGCGTGTAAACTGACACGTTCACCCTACTGTATTAGAATAAACCAATCTGTAGACTTTTGACAGAGTGTAATTTTCCTGCTCAACCAAGTAACGGAGATGTGTCAGTATCCGGGACTGGTTCGGTGGCAACATACTCGTGTGATACCGGATACTCCCTTAATGGACTGTCTGCAAGAACCTGTCAGACGGACGGTAGTGGCTGGGAAAACACGGACCCGACATGTTGTAAGTTATATTAGAAGTATCAAGTTTTGCCACTAAACCTAATGATATTACAAGGTTCTTTCAAACATTTTGACATATTCTCTTTCTAATTTCTATGCATATCTCCCTTTAATAAAATGGATATTATGTCTGTTTCAGTGTCTTGTCTCTTACGTTTCCTTTGATAGGTTTTTATTATCAATTCGCTTACAAAGAATACAGGTTTGTCTATTTTCATTGCTCTCACGATAACAAGGTTTGTCCTGTTTTTGTTTGGGGTACGCCTGGGCTCCTTGCCATTGGTTCTTGTTGCTGGGTCATATGGGGGTTGCGTTCATTGAACGCAACCTTTCCTTGTTGATCTTGTTTATCATATTTATCGATTTCCATTGCTCTCACGATAACTTGAAATCCCTTCCAAAAATCAGTATACATATTCATAAAATAGTTCTAAATTAAAGATAACAAAATTTTATTTCCGTACGTATTTGAATAAATTGTAAAAGAAATAGACTACATTATGGTTTGCATATTTTTTTTTATATTTCTTTCAAAAAGCAATGTACTGTTTAGAATGTGCAGTAATAGTTAAAACGTCTTGTTCTAGACTAATATAAATTATTCTGGCTTCTTTAAGATGAATGTCAAACAGTAACAAATCCGGCGTCTGGACTGTTCAGTTTAAGTTCAAATGGAACGCATACGTCAGTGAGGTATACATGTAACGTCGGCACAACGTTAAACGGTGTTAACGTTCAAGTTTGTATGAATGATGGTTTGTGGGAGGCTGCCCCGCCAATTTGTGGTAAGTTGCATCTGGGAATTGTGTCAAAGTTGTTCAACTGCACGTGCTTTTTACATTCATATTTTAAATATTATGTCATTTTGTGATCGTGTTGTTGCTTTTGAAGTATTTGGATATATTTCATTCCTGTAGATAACAACAGCCGTTTCATATCACTTTTACAATGTTTTGCATATGCGGACATGAAATCAAGTAATTTGCATTAGCCTGTGTTTCCTCTATACTTTCATGTACACAGATATAATTATATTCAACTATCTGAAATAAAGATTCAATGGCATTTGACATTTGTCGTTAACCAAAACTCGGGAGCATAACCATTCGGAACTGCCTCAGCTATCATATATAATAACCTCCGAAACAATTCGGATTGAAAGTAGTTCTATCAAGTGGTTTCAGATATAAAAAGAAACAGAGATAATGTTTGTTTGTTTGTTTGTTTGATTGGGTTTTACATCTGACACTGACACAGTGTAGGTCATTTGGCGACGTTACAGCTTTACTGGTGGAGGAAGACCTCAGGTGCCCTTCCGTGCATTATTTCAGGCACGAACGAACCACCGACGTTCCGTAAGCTAGCTAGATAGCTTCCTCAAATAAAAGAATCCAAAGTCCCTGTCGGGATTCGAACCCACAGTAGTGAGGGGCAAGTGGTTTGAAGTCAACAGAGATAATGTAAAACGAATGTATAAATTTGACATCCAAAAGAAAAGTAATGTCTGTTACAGTACACTTATGATTGAAAATATGTCAGACAATAATTCATCATTTAGATATGCCAACTGTTGTACAATTTTTAACGAATCCGATAAATGTAAACATATTGTTTTTTTTGTACTTTCGGTTTCTTCAACCATAATAATAAATATAATTATAATGTATTGTTTTCTTTTGTAGCTATGAATTTACTTATTTTTGGTCGACTTTTACAACAAAAATTTTAACTAAATTTGTCAACAACCTCCACCATTAATTACTATTTTGTTTACATAATAGGTTTCTTAGCGTAGTTTAGACCAAAATACCGCATCCGTTGTGTGTAAACATACTATTGCGTTCGAGGTCCTTATCCGAAGACTAACGGAAAGGGCATAGTAGTGAATGTAGCATAACGTTTGCAGCGCCATGGCTTTTAGTCTGTAAAGTTATGCATTAAATGCTTGGCGCCCTACAATGTGTTTATTTTCCACCAATCAAGTGCATCATTTAGTAATAGCGTTGTTTGGTGCAATGTTGTAACCAGGGATTCTCGTTGTCAGGAATATCTACCGATGTTAGTCTCTGTCAATATGTTACAAGTGATTTTGTTATGCCAGTATGGGATAATGTCCCAACCCATATTGATCATTTGAACGGGAAGAATATACGGGGTCACCGTTATTGTTTGGGCCAACAATAATTAAATATGTTAAACGGTCATTTCATCTATCTACATTAATGTTCGATTTATAGTAAGTTGTGCAAAGAAAACACACCTTAATACGTGCAAAATTTTCATGTGTACAAGGGTATGACCTTTTGTCTGTCGGAGTCACCACGTGTTTGACTGATGGAAGCTGGAACCTCCAATATCCCTTGTGTGGAAAGTAGTTGTTTTCGACTTTTATTTTAGTTTTCTTTGAGACAAATACCTGTACATCAATATGGGTCGATTTGTTGGGGTTGTTTTTTTTTTCTAATTATTTTACGCTATGTATTTCTCAAAAAAAAATCAACAATGTCATATTATAATCACATATCTATCTCATCGATCGCTGTTTATGTTGTATTCCCTATCAATTGAATGTATTGCAGAATACATTGAATGTATTGATGCAAACTTGGTACATTTTATTTATTGCAACATAGATTAAAGGTTTTGTTGAATAAATTAAATGTATTGCATCATAAGTTTAATATATTTTAGCATGCAACTTAGAATGAATGTATTGCAACATAGATAAAATGTTCCGCAATATGCAACATTGATGGAATTCGTTGCATCATAGTGTAAATTTTTACAGCATAGATTAAATATATTGTAGCATAGATTGAAAGTATGGCAACATAGAATAAATGTTTTGCAGCATTAATTATATATTTGGCACCATATACTAGAAGTATTACAGCATATGTTTAATACATTGTACCATAGATTGAAGAATTGTAACTTAAGACTGAATATTTTGCAATAAAGATTGATCGTTTTGCAGTATAAACTGAATGTGTTACAACGTAATTTGAATGTTTATCAGCATAGATTAAATATATCGTATAATATATTGAATGTATTGCAACATATATCGAATAATTGCAGTGTATAATAATTTTTTTGTAGTATATAACGAATTATTGCATTACAGATTAGATGTATTAAGGTATCTGCAATTATTTTTGGCATTGATAAGAACATACAAGATGTACTCATCTTTATTTTATTCATGTCTGTTGCATTCTATTTCAGTTTGTCAGCCGCCAAATGCTATCATTAACGGTAATTACGACCTGCTCGACCACGGGATGCTAGCATATTACTCGTGCGACCCTTCCTACAGGCTCGTAGGACCACAACAGCGGCTTTGTCTATCTGACGGCACGGGTTGGAATGGAACAGAGCCTCGATGTGGTATATAAATATATATATATATTCTGTTTGGTTTGTCACACGATTTTAGCCATATTGGTGGATAGTGACCTTACAGAAGTTCTGGACCAGTATAAACCAGTCTTCTAACAAGCTTCTGTCATTTTTTCAACATAACTTATTACAATCGACTGTGTAGGACAAGTGGTTTTAAACATTTTGTTGTATCATTTGCAAGTCAATCAATACGGAAAAAGCATAAGCCTTGCAAAAGGAAACTTTCATTTGAATTAACAACATTTCCTTTTTTATAAGGTCATGGATGTTGTTCAGTAAATTTCTATAAGCCAAACTGTTTATTTCTGATAAATTCCATATCTTTAAACCATATTTTAAACTGCTTTTATTACAGAATAAAGTATTTTTAGATCTGAGGTTTGCATACCTGCCAAAAATACAATGAATTACATTGATCTTATGTGTTTTATTTCCATATTTAACCCTGTCGACACCAAATGTACCTAATCCTTTCCGTCAACGGCCTACACGACGGTTCAGTGTAACTAGGCTCTATTCTGTCGTCTGTCCAGTCTCAAACTTCCATTTAGATATATTCTAAATAAAAAATGGATAGTTCCAGATATGGAAGATTGATAAGTCCATTTAAGAAAAAAATAGCAAGTTAAGGATTATTGGCACTCTTATGTGTAATTGACTTGTAATTACCAAAATGTTAATAATATTTTACCATACTTTTGTCATTGACTTTATGCCCATTTTCTTATCATCATAGCTTGATATAAAAATTCACTTTTTACAGATTTGATTATCATAACTACACCAAGAGCGGGTAAATCTCAAGAGCAAACAGTTCTTCCAATACCAACAGCAGCGTTCGTCGTTATTTGTGTCATTGTGTTTATCATTTTGGTAGTTTCTATTGTCGGGTCCATCTGCTGGTACCTGAGATACAAGAAAGTCAGTCAGCGCGTTGGGACTGTGTTTGATTCTAGTGACAATAGAACGACAAGCACTCGTAAGTATTATTGATTGATTTGTTATGTTGTCTTGGCGGAATATGTTCAATATCTGAACCGAATGAATCGTCTGGTAATGAATTTCAATTTTGAATGTTTTATTTAAAAACATTCTTAATTCCTTTTTTTTCTAAACCCCTCTGTGTCCAATATTTTATTCCTGAAGAAAAAGCGAACAATTTTGTATTGTAGTAACGAAACTTCTGTATGAAATTGCTTCCTTTTCATTAGACATCTAAGATATTAAACTCATAAATAAATAAGTATTGATTCTGCTTTATTTATGTTATTATGTATTATTTTAGTTGATGAGGCCCGTTTTAATTATGAGTCCACGGATATAGAAGTTGGAAATCTACTTATTGCAAAATCATTAGAACAAACCAAGCCGTTTTGTAATGCGAAGTCACTGACGAGAAAAACATCACGATCATCACTGGAAACTAACAAAACAGAAGAAGAAATTAGGTCTAAGCAGACTAGTTCACAAACAAAAATAGATTTAAACCACAATGGCGGCATATTGACCGCCGAAAACGGTGCAGTTACCGAAACCGCCATGTAAAAGGAACGCGACAAAAGTGAAACGTAGACGTCGTCGTGTAGAACGCCGCGAGGAGGGGGCAGACGAAAAAGATCTTCAGCCGAGAACATCTACGCCAAAATAAGTGTAATTATCAGAACAACGACTCCGGATATGCTTGCATCGGAGGAGTTTGCGTATATTTAGCCAGTGTACTGCCATGAGGCGGATACTCTGGCGCCAAGTCGCCCGACGACGTCGACATCAAAATACACTAGTAAAACCTTATACGCGGAGAGCAATATATAAATAAACATAAATCTGATACATTTGTGGTATCAAAATATAACGTGAACGAATTTTTGAATACAATGATTACGATATACCTCAAACATGACATGAACACTAACCATGAATGACGTAAAGCTTGCCTTAAATGCAATGTGTAATGGTGATGTGTGTTTTTTTTATTTATTTGTTTTATTTCATGTTTACACATGTGCACGTCCATGCTTTTTATTCATTTATTTGTTATTCTATGAATATACATGTTGGTGATATATTTCCTTTATATAGTGAAAAAATCAAACAAACACATTATTTTGAAATATGATATTATATATTTATGACCCGTATAGATTTTGAGATTAGTTGGTCAAAATCACGTGGCCCAAAATTGTAAGACCATTTTAGATGATAGCTTCTGTATGTTTTGTCCTGGTAGGGAAGTTGATCATCATTCACAGATGACCTGTATTGATACTAAACTCAGTAGGTCAAATGTCACTAACATCATGTATTAAGGGGGATATTTCGTGTGTTCAACGACCTTTTGTTCATAATATACACACAGTGCAATTTTTGTGACCTCGTGTACATAAAATTTTCATGTTTATACAGGATATTATCTTAGTGGAGAATCTACTCTTACGTGTGGTTCTGATGTTGCGTGGAGCAGTGATGTTCCGACTTGTAGTGAGTATTCTTATTAATTCCATATCTACAAAATAGTTCCGACGAAATTCCTTATGTTGCAAGGTTACTAGAAATTTATGTGTCAGTCCATGCACTTTCTGAAATGTTCGTGACATTCAAGTTTGACCCATGCGTGTGATCCCTATTAAAATGTGCTAGTTTTAGATAATATCAGATTAAATTATTATCCGAACAACTTAGGTTGAACTTGTCTTTAATTGAACTTGAGCGCTTGATGATTTACATTATATTAGAATAAACCAATCTGTATACTTTTGACAGAGTGTAATTTTCCTGCTCAACCAAGTAACGGAGATGTGTCAGTATCCGGGACTGGTTCGGTAGCTACATACTCGTGTGATACCGGATACTCCCTTAATGGACTGTCTGCAAGAACCTGTCAGACGGACGGTAGTGGCTGGGAAAACACGGACCCGACATGTAGTAAGTTATATTAGAAGTATCTAGTATTGCCACTAAACCTAATGATATTACAAGGTTCTTTCAAACATTTTGACATATTCTCTTTCTAATTTCTATGCATATCTCCTTTTTTTATAAAATGGATATTATGTCTGTTTCAGTGTTTTGTCTCTTACGTTTCCTTTGATAGGTTTTTATTCTCAATGCGCTAACAAAGAATGCAGGTTTGTCGATTTCCATTGCTCTCACGATAACCTGACATTCCTTCCAAAAATCAGTATACATATTCATAAAATAGTTCTTAATTAAAAAATACAAAATTTTATTTCCGTACGTATTTGAATAAATTGTACAAGAAAGAAACTACATTATGGTCTGCATATTTTTTCATACTTCTTTCAAAAAGCAATGTACTGTTTAAAATGTTCAGTAACATTTTAAACTTCTGGTTCTAGACTAATATAAACTATACTGGCTTCTTTAAGATGTATGTCAAACAGTAACAAGTCCGGCGTCTGGACTGTTCAGTTTAAGTTCAAATGGAACGCATACGTCAGTGAGGTATACCTGTAACGTCGGCACAACGTTAAACGGTGTTAATGTACAAGTTTGTATGAATGATGGTTTGTGGGAGGCTGCCCCGCCAATTTGTGGTAAGTTGCATCTGGATATTGTTTCCATGTTGTTCAACTGCACGTCTTTTTTACATTCATATTTTAGATATTATGTCATTTTGTGATCGTGTTGTTCCTTTTAAAGTGTTTGGGTATATTTCATTCCTGTTGATAACAACAGCCGTTTCATATCACTTTTACAATGTTTTGCTATATGCGGACATGAAATCAAGTAATTTGCATTAGCCTGTGTTTCTTCTATACTTTCATGTACACAGATATAATTATATTCAACTATCTGAATCTG